GACAGGCAGACAGACAGAGACAGAGAGACAGAGACACTCAGAGAGAGACAAAGAGAGAGAGATGGAGAGAAAGAGACAGAGACAGGGCGCAGAGAGACAGATGGAGACTCAGATGCCGAGATTTTCCCACGTTTGCCGTCTGAGGAGCCTCCAAACTCCTTTACACACAGAATGGGACCCCTGGACCCGGACCCACGTGGGCAGGAGTCAAGGGCCGGGCCCGGGACAATGTCAGCGAGCAAAGAGGACGTGCTTGCTTAGGTCGGCGCACGGGGCTGGTATTCAGAAGCAAACACGGAATTACGGGGCGTGGCGGAGGGGAATGAACAAAATGCTAGAATGTTTGTGTCCTTTCATTCCATTCAGGGATTTACAGAAACTCGGTTCCGGCTGACAAAATGCCGCCTGAGGGCACTTGCTTTAATGCCTAGAGAACACACTGAGCTTCTTCTAAAGAGACTAAAATACTTCGGCTTCTTAACTTTGTCAGATAAACCCTGCACAATCTTAACTGCACTCTGAAGTTTGCTGATCCAAAAAGAAACTTTCATTTTCAGCCACATCACTTCGAGTCACCTCAAAGCCTGCATTGTTACTAGTAAAATTATTCCTTGTGATTAATGTGTCTTTCTGGCCTATGGTTTTTCTGGCTCTGAAAGCGGCCTTGGTTTCTTCAACACTGAATATTTAATTACTTACTGGACATAAAAAGCTCCTCGAAGCCGTAACCCCATCCTTCGTTCTGAAGTGCAGTTGACTCAGCCTCCCCGCTTCCTCAGCTCGTGGCCGCCCTTCATTCAGAGTCTCAGTAATTCAATAAATTACTTTTCGCCAGGGTTGCGAACATCAGCTGAAGTTCAGTCTTCTATTGGAGATGTTATCGGTCTGCCCATTTAAAGTCCTCTGAGCAAAGTCCTGATTTTTTGGCCCAATATAATATAAAAATGCAAGAGCCAGAAATTTAATAAGTTTGCACTGCGTCGTGCCAAGCTAGAACTGTTCGTAGCTCGCCAACAATATTCTTTCAAAGGATATTTCTTGGTTTTCATCAAATGTGAGGACTATTTCAAAGAGTCTGCGAGATCATTTAAAAGGGGCCGGTGCAAATGTTGTACATTTATTGAGTGCCTGTGGTATACCCGCACTGTGTTTAGCACTGAAACCACCAAAAAATGTCACGATGCTGTCCTGTGGGTTCTCCACGCCCTTGAAGGGGGCAGAAGTGTCACTTGCAGGGCGTGTGAAATGTAACACTTTATGCAGAGATGGGACAGAGCTGCCAGGAGGGACTCGTTGGAGGGGGACCTGGAAGGGCGTCACCAAGTAGAGCAGGCTTGGCTTTCCAGGATGTTTTCTTGGCCGCCAGCAGGGCTAGAACATTCCAGACAGGGGACTTCCATGTGCTCGCCCAGCAGTGACAAGTAGGATGTCTTGTCTGCGGAGCAGCGTTTGTCTCAGTAGAGCTGGAGCCCAGGGCTGGAGAGGATGGGGCCAGAGAAATGGAGGAGCTCGAGGGTCCCCAGACCCTCGACAGAGCCTGTGCTCTGTCTGGCGGACCGGCCGTGCTTCAGCCGTTTTAGATCATGCTCTTCCCTGGGACCCCGAGGAGGGCAGTGGCTTCAGTCTGTGGGAAACGCCGTGTGCCCAGTTTTGTTCTTGCTCCCGTTTTTTTCGTTTTAGATCATGCTCTTCCCTGGGACCCCGAGGAAGGCAGTGGCTTCAGTCTGTGGGAAACGCCTTGTGCCCAGTTTTGTTCTTGCTCCCGTTTATTTTTGTTTTTTTTTTAATTTTTTTTTTTTATGGTGACATTGGTTAATGAAATCCAATAAGTTTCAGCTGTACGCTTTAACAGTCAGGCGTGTATATCGATATATAGATATATATGCAACACTGTGTGTTCACCTCCCATAGTCGGATGTCCTTCTGTCACTGCATATTTGACACCCTTTACCCCGTCTACTTCCCCCGCTCCCTACTCCCCCCACCCCTCTGGGGTTTTTGTTTTTGTTCTTGTTTTTTTTTTTGCTTTTTTTTTTAAAACAGCAGGGTTGGGGACATTGATGAGTCCAGCTTAGGGTCTGAGTGTGGGGTACTCTGAGGGGAGTTGTTCTTGTTTTTTTTTTTTTTTGCTTTTTTTAAAAATAGTTTCAAATGAGTCTTCCTTGACTAAGACCTTTCGGTTTTCGGCTTAGGAGACCGTGTGCATCTGAGCCAGGTACAGGGTTGGGGACATTGATGGGTCCAGCTTAGGGGCTGAGTGTGGGGTGCTCTGAGGGGAACCGGGTGAACCTGTCAAACACAAGCTGTTGCTTCCACTGTCCAGCGGTCTGTGAAGAGGGTTTTCCGTCATGAAACCGGTAGTGACGGTGTTTATACTTCACTGTGGCAACAGTTCATCTTCCTTTCTATTAAACATTTGTTTACGATGTACATTCTTGGGGATCGGACAGTATTCCTAACAAAATATACGGAGCGAATCATTGAACGGCGGCCATTGTCCTCAGAGAAACCGGCTCATAGGCAGGGTGGCGGGAACGGGTTCGTGAAGCTCCCCGTGGTCACCGTTGCCCTGTGGGGGGAAAGACACCCAGTGACAGCAAGGAAGCGGGGCTCCCCCACCCCCGCCCTGTGGAAGAACCGCATGTGTAAGGGAGCGGAAAGAGAGCCTTCCTCGAGATGCGGTGAACCGGCCCCACTGGGGAACGCAGGTTCTACCTTCCATTCCAAAGGGAGTTTTACTGGGGGCTCCTTGGACTGTAAAACATCCACGAAGGTCATGGTAGTTAGAGACAATGGTGATGTCCCCAGTTGCATTGCGTTAAAAACTCATTTTCTCCCATCACTTTACCAATCGAGCCTGACCCGGGCACCTGTCTGTGCAGAATGAAGTCCAGGACTGACACGAGACGAGGCTCAATTCAACCGGATTTCTGTGCTGAAGAAACTGAATTCGCTGCACAAGAAAGACCCACCGCTTACATTTATTATCATCAAATGAGAAAGTCCACGCTTTTACTCCTTTCTCGGTGTTGTCTCAGTAACCTTTCTCATATGTTTCAAGATAACTAGAAGTGTATTTTCTGTGCAAGTCTTGCAGTTTGCCAGAAACCAAAACCAAATTCTACCTTTTTGCTTTAGATGTTATCTCTTTGAGAGGCTTGGCCAACAATTTGATCTCTCTATTTAGAAACAAGGGTGTCGCCAGCTGTAAGCGGGGAGACTGAGAGTCACCCACGGTCACGCTGCCTGCTCCAGGGACCACTGTCCTGACCTGGGTCGAACCTCTCTTTCCAGTTCCCGCTGCCCTCCGGACTGACGCCCGCATCCTCCCTTCTGCGTCGGACATGCTGTTTGTATTTCGGGGCTTCGGGGAAGGGAGGCCTCTCGTCCGCGTGCACAAGATGCGCACCCCGCTTTTCTGTGTGTCCAGATGGGCCTGAATGCGAAAGGTTGTTTCCTGCTGCTGCCCATCTTATCCTTTGCCTGCTTGGCCTCGGCCATGCAAGCCTGGTCCCCCGGGCGTAGTTTCCGCCTGGCAAATCGTGTCCAGAAGGTGTTAGAGAAGACAGCGCCTGCGTGCGTCCTGTGCAGCCTGCTTTTGTTAGCAAATGATTTACTGTTTGTTATAGGAAAATGCGCATCCTGAATGGATGGGCAGTGCCGGGCAGAAATCAATGACCACCATCCTGCTTATTTACTTGCGGTGGAGTTTTTCTTTCCAACATAGCGGTGCTTTGTTGGTGTTTTAAAGAGATTCTGCTTTCTTTAGCGGGTTGGCATCTTGGAAATTGGAGCAGCCAGACTCTGCGTGCTGTGTCCATTTTTAGCCTTGGCTGGCATGGAGCGTGGCCATGCCTCCTGGGGTGCCTGCCTCGAGCTGCTGGCTAGCATGGCGCTGGGTGGGAGTTGTTCGTATGAATAGAATGGAGTTCATTGATGCTAAGGATATGCATTGAGACATTCAAAGTGATCAGAATCTAGTAACCTGAGGTTCGACCCCTGTCACCAAATGAGACGTCGGCCAAGCCCCTATGAGAAAGGAGAGCCCCTTGCTGCCCCTACTCTGAGTCTGGTTTGGGGTCCACTGCCACCCTGCCCTCAGCCAGAGCACGTGCTTGCAGGATGCTGGTGGGTGGGCGCCTGCCCGTGTGGCCACGACACTGTCCTCCGATCGCCTGTCGGGGTGCAGGGAAGCACCCTGCGGTGCTGACTTAGCGGCAGCCCGCCAGGGCACCCTCGACGGGAAGGTCCCCGGAGAGTCTGCACTGGAGTCTAGAGCTGGCCCCTTCTTCCGCCGACTTCCGGTCTCCCGGGGCCTCAGTGTGCGGCGGGCGGTCCCTAGGGTCCGGCTCTCACCTGGGAGTTCAAGGCCGAGCGCTGCCCCTCTACGCGGCGGCTGCTGCACGTGGCACCCCGGGAGCGCGGTGGCCCTTTGGCCGGGCTTCCTCCTACAGGCAGCCATCTGTGCTGTAGTAAAGGCGGATCCCTGCCATCCTGGTCTGAACCTCGGCATGCAGAGGGGACTGGACGCGCAGGCCAGGCGGGCGGGCGTGGGTCCTGTCCCAGGCTCCCCTCCCTGCCTACTCCCCGCTCCCTCCCTCCTTCCCCTTCCCCGGCTCCCTCATTTCTCAGTCTGAGCTTCACCTTCTGGCGTCTTTTTCCAGAACGCGGACCCCACCGAGCTCACCCTCACCCCTCCGCAGGCCCTTCTCCTCCCCTGGAGACACTTGAGTTGGCGGAGTGAGGGCTCCGACCTCGGACCCCGGCCCCAGTGGCCGTGGCCGTGGCCGTGTCTGCAGCTGTGGCTGCCTTGTGCCTCTGGCAGCTTTCCGAGCCTGCCCAGGCCAGAGGCCTTGGAGCTGGCGCGTCACCCGCCAGAGCGGCTGGCATGCCATTCTTTTGAAATGAGTAACAGCGAAGCTGGTCTGAGAAATG